ATGTGTCAGCTGTTAAAGTATTGTGGGAGAGAAATTACTGCCCTTCCCCTGCCATGTGATTGCATTAAGCTCTTTAAGTGTAGCAGCCACCACAGATGCGGCTGAGAACTGGCAGGGAAGAGAGGAGAACAAAGGTGGCTGGGTGCTGCCCTGGTGCATTTGTGATTCTGGACGTGTTGTTGGGCCACAGTTTGTTACAGTTGTAAGCCAGAGCGTTCCAGAGACTGTCCTATCTTACGGCTACAGCCAACGGGCCTCCAGCAGATCAGGGCAGCTGGAATGCAGTGCTCTGACAATTCCCCTTCCCTCGTCTACCAACACTATTCTCCCAGCATGCCCACACCCAGGGGGCAATGAGCAGTCCTCCTTTAGCATCCACCCCTCCCGCCTCCTTTCTCCAGGGGAATTCCTGTGCCTGGGTTCCACCATCTTTTATGCTACACACACAGTCATGGGGTTAGCACAAGGCCCAGAATCAGAGCACTGACTAGCACAGCAAAGAGCCCTAGTCTATCCACCTTCTGGGTATGGTGGGAAAACTACTTTTCCCTAAAACGTTTCGGATTGCAGGTCACACAGATCTTGGGTTGTTGCCAGCTGCTGGGCCTGTCACTGTCAACGGTGGCTATTGGTCCACTTTTATCACACACTTCCAGTGGGTCAAGACTGTGTGGGCTCCTCATGAGGGACCACAGAACCTAAACAAGTACACCCAAGTAAACAAGGGATGGGATCTGAGCCAGTACCCCTGTCTCATCGCAATGCCTTCCAGTGACAGAATACAGTGCAGCATGAGCTTGCTCTGAGACACTCTGCCTGTAAGGTGGATGGCTGGGTCCAGGACATCTCTCTCCCTAGGACACAACTGCCACTTGCCAGGCCTTGGAGACAGTGCTACCCCCTTCTCCGTCAAACTGCTGAGCATGGGTGGCAGGTGAAGGCCCAGCTGGGGAAGGCAAACCCAAGCCCCGCTCCTTCCACCTGAAGCCACACCCCTACCCCCAGACCATGCCCTTTCAACAACCTCCCCCACAGCCAAGCCCTGCCCAATCCTGGCCCTCAAGCTCGATCCTTCTGGAGTGCCAGCGCTGCAAAGTCACGGCCCCAGCCGTCCCAGGTGGCCAGGGAACTGGGCTGCCGCATCCCGGAGCTGGCCCCAGACTTCTCCAATTCCTAGGGAGCCTGACTGCTGCGGAACAGCCCCAGCCTTCCCTGGCTGCTGGGGAGCTGGGATGCTGCACCATTGCCCAAGCCCTTCTAGGTGGCCAAGCAATGTAGGCATATTTGGGAAGGCAATGCCTTCCCTTGCTTAAATTACCCACTGCCCATGCCGCTGAGGTGGTAGACATGGGACTAGATTCAGGGTCTATCTGTACTGAAATTATACCCTGTGAGTGCATTATAAACATACCCTCACTGTCCCCACATCCATTCCATGTGGCTCTGTCCTCCTCTAAGAGTGACTTGGCCGTATATAGAGGTTAATGATCCTGCAACAGCCTTGGCAAACAGAGCCAGGTCTTTCAGCTCAAACAGAACTAATGCCTGCATTTAGAACCAGCGATTTCCAGTAATCACACTGTCAACCACCCATCCAGGGAAACATATAACATCTTCCCACTGTCATGGGATAAGAGAGAAAGTCTTCTCATGGACTGATAACTGGTTAAAAGATAGTAAACAAAGGGTAGGAATAAATGGTCAGTTTTCAAAATGGAGAGAGGTAACTAGTGGTTTCCCCCAAGGGTCTGTACTGGAACCAAGCCTAGTCAACATATTCAGAAATGATCTGGAGAAAGGGTTAAACCATCGGTTTCCAAACTGGAGGGCATGCTCCCTTGGGGGGGTGTGAAGAAATTCCAGGGGCAACCCAAACCCCAACCATTGGCACGAGGCAACCCAACCCCCAACAAGTTTTGCTGCTCTGATCATGTCCTTTTTTTTTCTCTCAAGAAGTTTTGCTATTTTGGAGTATGTGTATGTGAGGGTTTTTCAAAAATTAAAAAGGGGACGTGATTCCAAAAAGTTTGGGAACCACTGGGTTAAACAATCAGGTGGAAAAAATTGTAGATGATACAAAACTGTTAGTTAAGACCAAAGCAGACAGTGAGGAGCTCTAAAAGGATCACACGAAACTAAGTGACTGGGCAACACAGCCCCAAAATTTAAGAAACACAGGAGTGATCTGCTTCCAGAAAATATACTCTTCTGGGGCACAAATGTGAAGAAAGAGTTCACACTAAGGGTGTGTCTAAACTACATGGCTCCGTCAACAGAGCCATGTAGATGAGGCTGATCGGCAAAGGGAAATGAAGATGCAATTTAAATAATCGCGGCTTCATTTAAATTTAAATGGCTGCCGCACTCTGCCAACCAGCTGATGATCAACTGTTTGTCGGCAGATCTGGGCAGTCTGGACGCACCACGGTCGACAAAGAAGCTTTTGTCGACTGGCGCTGGTAAACCTGGTTTCATGAGGCATACCTGCGCCGGTCAACAAAGGCTTCCTTGTCGACAGTGGCACGTCCAGACTGCCCCAATCTGCTGACAAACAGCTGATCATCCGCTGGTCGGCAGAGCGCAGCAGCCATTTAAATTTAAATGAAGCCGCAATTATTTAAATCACGGCTTCATTTCCCTCTGCCGATCAGCCTATTCTACATGGCTCCATCAATGGAGCCATGTAGTTTAGACACACCCTGGCAGATGAATTTTACTGTTAGTAACATAATCCCAGATACAGGCAGTCCCCGGGTTACGTACAAGATAGGGACTGTAGGTTTGTTCTTAAGTTGAATTTGTATGTAAGTCGGAACTGATACATATTGTAGGGGAAACTCTAGCCAAACATTTCTCCAGAGCTCAGTTTTATTCTCCCACACCTCACTTCCCTCAGTCCTTTATTCTCAAGCTGAGGAGTCTGCTGAGAAAAGCCACTCCGCGTCTCCCTGGTCTGCTGGGAGGAAGCAGCTAGTGCGGGGTTGCCTCACCCCGTTTGTAAGTAGGGATCTGATGTAAGTTGGATCCATGTAACCCAGGGACTGCCTGTATATGCATAAAATGATGGGTTACCATTTCAAGAAAGATCTTGAAATCACTGTGGTAGTTCTCTGAAAACTTCCACTCAAATGTGCAGCATTCATTTTAAAAAAAAGTAAACAGAATGTTGGGAATGATTAAGAATGGGATAGAGAATAAGTCACAGAATATCTTATTACCTCTATATAAATCCATGATATGCCCACATCTTGAATACTGCACACAGATGTGGTCACCTCATCTCAAAAAAGTTATCTAGGCATTACAAAAAGTTCCAAAAAGGGCAATAAAAAAGATTAGAAGTATGGAACAGCTGTCATACATGGAGAGCTTAAGAAAATGGGAACTTTTCAGTTTGGAAGGGAGATATTGCAGAGGTCTATAAAACCATGGTGGGTAGGAAGAAAATGAATAAAGAAGAGTTATTTACTTCCAGGACCAATCCTCCTGTCCACAAGTTCTGTGTCCCACAGGGATCTCAGTTCCTACACAACCCTAAACTCCACTCTACTCCTAACAATACACTATGCTCCCCCAGCCTAACTGTCCCACCTTCCCCTGCTCAGAGTCACCCAGGCTCAGCAACCTGAACCTGATTACCCCCATCCTCTGGCTCCTCTCCACCAGCTGCTCCTAGCTTCCTGGTTGCTTTAACTCTAAATCCACTTGTTCAACCCTGCTAGTTCACCCAACCCTCTTCCTCCCTCCCAGCTACCACTGACTCCACCTATCCGTCCCTTAATTCCAGCCTCTTGCTAGCTTGGCCTCAGTGTCTCCTTCCCGCCTTTATACACTCTCTGCTCTTCCCAGTCCAACAGTAACACCATGTGGCTTTCACATGCCCCAACACCCCTACCTGAGTCCTGAGGCCCTAGTTACTCTGCCCTCATTGGCTGTGATGCCCTCTCTGAGTCTCTGGTGATTGACCCCTCCCTGGTGTGTATCCAGCTCCCTCTCTCCTAAGGGGCAACCCATGGAGCTTGAACATTAGCTCCAGATCCTCTGGGAACTCCTGTTTTCAGGGAAAAGGATGGCAGCCTCTCCAGCGCCAGGGCAGAGCACAGCCAGCAGGCCTCAAATTTGCCAGCCCCTGGGGCGCCCATCTGGGGCCCAAGCAGGCAGGCAAGCTGAGCAGAGCATCTGGGCTCGGATACAGATTTATCTGAGGAGCACAGGCGAGCCTCTCC